TACAACTGCAGGATGAACTCATCGAGGAGGAGGTGTCAGTGGCGCATCAGCTCAACGCCGAAGCTGCACCCTACACGAATGGTCTGAGCAGCGCTGAGACACCAGAGCCAACACCCGAAGCAAGCAACGTGGAGAAGGAGGCGGTTAAGCCAGTGGCGGAGCCTGAGCCAATTGTGGAACAGTCGATTCCTGCAGCTCCAGCTGCGGAACAGCCTGTCGAGTCTTTGCAGCAGCAGTCACCGGCTGTTGTCGCCAGTGAGCCAGCAGCTGTGGAACAGCCACTCGAGGCAGCACAGCCAGTCGAGGTGGCCCAACCTGCAGCTGCTGAAAAGCCTGCCGAGGAGACACCAGTGGCTGACATCGCCGTAGCTGCAGTGGCTGCTACAGCAGTGGCAGCTGCGGCTGGAGCAACCGTCGCAGCTGCCACTGCTGCCGCAGCCAAGCCCAAGGTCAAGGCTAGCCCCAGTGATGCACAGAAGAAGCCGGCTGCCGGCAAGGCCGGAGCACCTGCAGCGGCCAAGAAGCCCTCACCTGCGCCCATCACAAAGCGGACCACGGCGGGCTCCACAACTGCACGCCCACGCACAGCACCGGCTGCCGGCGCTGTCAAGTCCAGTGCTTCCACAACATCAACATCAACAACAACAACAACAACAGCCAAGACGAGCACCACAGCCGCACGCAAGCCACTGACGGCCAGCAATACGGCTGGCAAGCCGGCACCACGTACCACTCACAGCACCCTGACCAGCGCTCGCCCGGCCACCGCTCCGGCCAGCAAGACCGCTGGCAGCTTGAGCAAGACCGCTGTCAAGCCTGCCACCACGGCACGCTTCACTACCAGCACCACGAGCACAGCTACAGCCCGCAAGCCACCAAGCTCGACCACATGCAGCAATGGATCCGCCACAGCCGCCACTAAGTCGCGCCTGCAGGTGACGGCCAACAAGCCGGCCACCACTCCCAGCAGCCTGAGCGCCACTGGCGCCGCTGCCAAGCCGAAGACTCTCTCTCCGCGCAGCACCGTGTCCTCGACGCTGCGCAAGCCGCCGACCACCAGCACCACTGGCAGTTTGTCTGGGGCGCGCAGTCCCTCGAAGCCGCTGGCCAATGGCGTGGCCAAGTCGAGCAGCGCAGCCACTAGCACCACCAGCACCACGCGCATCAAGTCGGCCACTGCCAACGGCAGCGCTACCAGCAGCAGCACCACCACCACCACGACCATTACTAAGACTTTCACGGCGCGCCCAGCGCCCAAATTCACACACACGGCGCCGACCGGTGGTGCGAGCAGCGCGCGTCGCACCCAGCTGACCGTTGGCAGCGGCGCCACCACTGCTGCACAGCAGCGCAAGTCGTCGCCGTTGAAGAGTGCTTCCAGCTCGCCGCTGAAACCGAAAGCCAAAGAGATCGCTAAAACATCACCAGGTGCTGGCATGAGAATCAGGCGGCCAACGGGCACCACACCAGCCAAGGCGGCAGTGGGAGCAGATCCCGCAGAACCTGCAGCAGCAGCACCAGCAACAGCAGTTGACCCAGAGCCGACTCCTGCTGCCAATGGCTTGAAGGAGGCGGAAACTAAACTAGAACAGAATGGCCATGGCAATGGCTTGCACGATGCTCTGGAGGCAGCGCAGGAGGCATTGGAGCTACAGCCGCAGCAGCAGCAGAACCCAGAGGTGGCACTGCTGGATTTCTAGGCGGCGTCCGGCTGCAGCGCCGAAGATGAGTTGATCACTAATGGAGTTAAATAAAAAATGAAACTACTTTACTAATATTATAAACATATTATGAAAAAGTATTTTGCGCATGAAACTGCGAACAGCGAAATTTTGCGATCCCTCAGCCCCTCCTCTTCCATTTCCAAGTTGTGGCTCAGTGGAGCGTCCATTAATTTTTTAAATACAGATACACACACACAGACACATATAGATATATATATATATGTTTATGAACAGATATGCCCCCTTTCACAAACGCAAACGCGGGGGGCTCCGACATTATTTTGTGTGGCACAATTACGATTTTTCCAAGCCCAAAGTCGATTAGTGTTTTGTGCTATTTTGTTAAGGGTTTTCCTTTTGTGTGTGCTCGCTCGCTTCTTTTGCTCATTTGCATATTTTTGGTTTAATTTTTTACGTTTTTTACGTTTTTAAATATTATAATTGTTCCTCACGCTCTGCTTTTTTTTTCTCCATTTTTGTCTCATTTGTTTGCTCATGTATTAAACGAACAATTTTTATGTATCTATTTAAGTTGAAAACGAGAAAGAATCTTTGGAGCGCAAAAACGAAACGAAAAAAAAAAAAACAACACAAAAAACTAAAGGTGTTTTATAAGAACCATAAAAAAAATAAAAAAATAATAAGAAAATAACAAACAAAAAGAAAATATATATATATTAACACACTTGTATGAGAGTGTATGTGACAGAAAAAAAGAAAAACTTATAAATGTAGCTCGTAGTTGGCATTCTAACACGTAATATTTCAAATATCAAAACTAATCAACAAGAAAAAAAAAGAAAACAAAAATTTAGAAAAAAAAAAAACAAAAATAATCAAAGAAAAAAGCGCAGCTATCAAGAATATTTGATCAGCAAAATGCTGAACTGAACCACTGTGCGCTATAAAAAAATTTTGATGATAGAATTTTGATGTGTTTTTTACTGTCAACATTTTTAGGGTGCTTCCTTTAAGTGCACTCCCACACACACGCATACACACACATTGTATACGCCGCATATATACATTTATACGTTCCTCCAATTTACTTAAAACAAAAAGTTTGTAGTGTAGTGTTTGCAGCTCTTATCCCCCAGTGTTAGGACAAGACGAAATCTGAACGGAGAGCCCGGAGAGAGAGCGAAGAGTTACCCGAAATTTGATTTGTTTTTTAGACTATTCAAACACACAAACACACACACACATTTGATTTGTATTGTATTATTAATTTTTAATTTGTTAATTATGCAGCGAAAAGCACAAGCTGAACATTTAATGTAACTTTTGCACACTCTATACTTTATGTTTAAAACGATATTACCAATTAAAAATTACAAAAAAAAAAGAAAACCAACAAAAAAATCTCAAACAAAAACATTATACAATTCTTTTTATTTTGTTTTATTTACATTTATTTTGTTTTCTATTATTTATTTTTATTTGCAAAGAAAGTGCTTTAAATCCCTTATAGAGTTGATAGAGATAGAGAGGAGAGAGAGTTACCAAAAAAGCGTCAACGATTCGAATTTATTGTACGTACTTATAATATGCATTGAGATACCAATTTTGCCTGCTTTTTTGTACAAGTTTGAAAAGATTATTAGATTATTAAGTTGCTAGATTTGAAAGTTGGTCTATATATACTTTATATAGATATATATAAATGAAATTTACATTTACATTTACGTACGCATGCCTGACGCGCTCCGATTGCTATATATACAAACATACATCTACTTAAATAGTTAATAATCGTATTTATTCAATTTGCGTTATGGTTTGCATAGGTCCCGCCCCAGTGCCCTTCACTTTCGTTTGCCTTATTATAACTAAATTGCTAAGTCTAAAGCGTAAGCTAAATTATAATTACATTTATTGCTAAATACAAATATGGACAACAAATAAGTTGAAAGGAAAATTGAAAACAAAAAAAAAAAACTTAAGAAAAAATTAAATGAGTTATAGAGTTGTAGACCAAACGCCCTGCCCCGCCCCGCCCACTCTCCATTGACAACCCCCCCGACAAAACAAGACAACAACAACAAAAAACACTACCAACATTCACGGCCGTAATTTGTTAAGCTTGACTTGGCACTGACTCAAGTCCCGTCAAGTTCAGAGAGAGAGACTGATCCAAGTGATTCATTCACTGGGCCAATAGTTGCCGTTTTGCATCGGGCTTTGGGGCAGGGTCGCTGTGTCTGGGCCCGTTTACCGTTAGCTGTCTGATTGTTTGCCAGACGATATCAAATCGAATCAGCATTTTTGAAGCATTTATACTAACTGGGTTGCAGACAAACTGAAAGAAAGTACTATATGGCATATGGTATATCCAAAAAGAAAAACAAAAAAGAACGACTTATATACGTAGCTCTAAATATTATCCATTAAAAATAAATATATATTTAAATGTACTATTAACAAGTTGATAACAACAGAAATACTATTATTATCAATATACATTAAAACATATTATCAAAATATACAAGAGAAACGCATTAACTGATACTGATCGTATGCCTATAACTATGGCACATTGCATTACATACATACATACATACTCGTACATCAAATATCAAGTCAACAAGTACATATTGTGAACGTGTAGCAGCAAATGGATAAACCAATTTGGAATCGAACCGATATTGCAAAACAACAATTTATTACTAATAAATGTTAAATATACAAAATCAACTAAAGTTCAAAACTGATATTTTCTTGCGGGATTTGGGTAGAGTTTAACTATAGCATTATATTAAATATACATATTAATGATAAATTATATTTAATGAGTGCTACTAAATAGAAGTTGGACTGCACTAAGGATATGCTGTCTTTGAAGCTGAATCCAGAATGCTATTGCACAGACGTTTATAAAGCATTTTAACCTGCTTCATTCAAAACGGATAACAAAAAAAGTCTTAACAATGAACAAGAATTTCCTCAAATCATATAAATAAAAAGATTCGTGTAAATTTGAAGTGAAATAATAACGATATTGCCCTCTAGATATTAAAATAAAATCCTATTTTATTAACATGAACCCATGGAAAATCCATTACCACATTATACACAGGGTTAGTTTTACCATCCATATCTAGATTTTGCAAGACGATATAATAGTTAAACATATCCAAACAGCATTTCGATATGTGTCAAATTTCAAGTTCTAAGTTCTTAGTTGAAATAAATTCCTCATTTTACAGAACATTAAATATACTTCATAATATTATGCAGCTTTGACACGGCGTTTGGGAATTCAATTTTGGGTAAGCATGCTTAAGGGCCCTATGCAAATTTTGTTTAGTTGCTGGCTATTAAATCTACTTTATCTTACTAATTTGTCTTAATTGCATGCCTGATTAAATACTTAAATTAATTATTTTACTGACCTGAATAGCTTTTCCATGAGGATAACTAATTTAACAGTCAGCACTTCGGGTTTTATATGAAGTTACAAATGTTGGACTTTCAGGAGTAATATTATAAAGGAGTATACACATTAATATATACAAAAAAGATTGTTTACTATAAATAGTTTTCATGACATGGTTTTAAGAATTCCCCGATTGTATTTGCTGTATCTCGCTGCTTATTTATAGAGTGTTGAATGAGTATTCTGCCATTGGTACCACCCGGCTGCAATGTAAGTAATACCGCTTTCATACTCTGTGAAATGAATGGCTGTTTTAGTTACATACTACCGAGATTTATACCCTGAACACATTAAAAATGAGAAGGTGTCCATATTTATTAACACAATTTAAACCAATATTAATAAATATGTATAAAATGAATAGCCAGTTAGTATAACATTCATTTCGTGAATCATAATTTGCGTGCTACTATAGAGTACGCCTTGATTAGGATGTGGTTAATTAAAAGCAATTCATATTTTTCTCAAATTTATATTTGCTGGATTATAAGCAAGAATGAAACTATGTGAAGCCACATAATATTGTCGACCGATTTAGATTAATAAAATATTATTAATTATTCAATAGTGATGTTTAATTGGACAACACTTTGATGAAGTTGTCTAAAGTACATAAAAAAATTTCGATTGGGAAAATAAAAAATTATATATATAAGATATGCACATAGATCTATAGCATCTATAAGGCTTTAATCATAATATTGTATTTTATAGCTACACATGTGAGCTGTCTCCATAAAGCCATCACACTTAGAGCCTGGTCAAAAGTAACAAATGATAATGAAATGACAAATTGTTGCCCATTCCCAGCGGGCTGCACACGTAAGTATTTTAAATAATTAACTAAGTAAGTTTGTGCAATTAGTTCATGAGGCTGGTGGCGCATTTTTGTTATCACCGCCACAGCTGGCTGCAAGGAGCGGCACCCTGAACTGCGCTCGGTCTCTCTATGTGACTCAGCCGCGCCCCATTGCTGACCCCTTGTGTTAATTTGCATTGAGGCAAGTGGAGGATGGGTTCGCAATGAGCCAAGATGCGAGGACGATGACGATGGCGAGAACGGGGACAACGACTGCGGTGCAATGGGAGCGCCGCCAAGCCATTTGGAGAAAGGGAGAAATGAAGTGTGGTTGCGTGTGAAATTGGCCGAGTTGGGCTAGCATGAATCACCCGCGTCTCGAGCGACGACAGCGTGCGCAAAGTGTAATGAATCATGTGCCAATGGGAGCCGGCATCAGGCAGCAGGAGGTAGGCACTCAAAGTGGTTAAGCACAAACACTCGAAACACATAAGCGAACACATTGACATTCAGGTTTTTGTTTTGTTGTACGTGTTGGAAATTTGCAATTTATTTCTCGTTGGGTCTTACAGGCTTTTGTATTTTTGGGCCGAGTCGCCGCCCGTTAAGGCGGCGCACAAATTGTTGGGCAAAGGCGCGTTTGCCGGCAAATATTACGAATTAGCTATACTCGACTTTATTAGTATGCCATAAAGCATTCAAAAACACAAATCTTGAATAGGCGGCGCAGACACCTACTATTATTGCCAGCTTATAAAACTAAAATCAATCAAACTTAAGACTAGGGATGCTAGACGGCTAAACACAAATTAGAAATTCCTGGCCTTCTTGAAATGTTTTGGCTGGGCACCATTCTCCTGTGCTGGGCGCTTGTTGAAAGGCTTCCTCTGGTTTGTAATGTTATTGTTGCTGTTATAGCCAGGCTTTCCATGGTTCTTCTTCTTGAGCAGTTTCATCTTTAGAATTGAATTAGGCTCCAAGAAAATTGGTTGGCCCTGCACTAGACGCTCATTAAACAGGAAGGATTTGCAGAAGCCATCCTCACTGCTGAATTTAATAACTGCCCTGTAGGGCAGCATTTTGATGCTCTCGATTTCTCCAGCTTCTGAAAAGATTTCATTTAGGTGCTGCTCTTCGACACCTAAAGACAATAAATTAATTTAGAATTGGTAAGTGATAAGCAAAAAGGTGCTCGCACGTACCTGGAGCCACATTTGTCACAACAATTGAGCGGGGCGAGGAGCTGTATTGGAAGGACTCCAATTTAATATCCAGATCGTTCACTTTTTTGCCGTTTAGATTCTTTTGCGCCTTTTCAGCCTGTTCGGCTGTCTTGTATGTAACAAAGGCCAGAATCGTACGTGTGCATACCGTATCAATGTCGACAACCTCGCCATGCTTCTTGAAGATCTTCTCGATGGATTCGGTTTTGTAGGATTCATGATTGCCAGTATTCATAAGGGTCAATGTGCATGCTGGACTTTTTATAGATTTGTTTTTCTGTGCCTCCTGACGAACTGTTATGAAACGATTGTTCAATTTGCTGTCCTGCAATTTCAAGGCTTTAGGCACAGAGCTGACCGATGCGAAACGCACATATGCGCTAGGCAATGCACGATTATGGGAGAAGTTAACAGTTTCAATTTCACCGCAGCCCTGGAAATGTGCAATAATTTGTTCCCTAGTAACAGTCGCTCCAATCAATCCCACGACAACCGTGCGCTCATTGAGCTCGTTCTTATTATACGCTTGAGACACAGTCAGGACTTGTCCATTGAGCGTCAAAGCCTTCTCCTTGGCAGCAAGAGCGGCCTGAACAGATTCGGCAGACTCAAAAGCAATGGCTACGTTGTTGCCGCCAGCTTTTGACTTGATCCTATTTATAACGGCAATCGGACCGAATTTCGCAAACAATTCAACCAAGTCTATGTGCTTGTATTCTGAAAAAGTAAAGCATATTATAATCCAAAGATGTATACAATTTGATGTTGTTTAATAAGCGCTTGCATATTTTTCACCTACCAGTTGGAAGTCCGCGAACGAAGAGAATTTGTTCGCTGGGTGTTCCGGGTGGAATGCGACCGATAGTTATTTTCGGAATTCCAGTTTTCTTGGCTCCATATGCTTTATTCTTCTCGCTGTCAATTGGCTCTTCATCGGGCTCTTCGTCAGAATCGGCTTCCTGAACGTTGTCATCATCATCAGATTCGGCGGCTGATTTCGAGACCTTTGATATCTCGCCAGGTTCAGTTTCATTCTCGTCTTCATCCTCATCTTCCTGATCCTGGTCGTCATCCTCATCCTCATCATCCTCATCTTCATCATCATCATCTTCGACTTCCTCAGCCTCAGAGTCTACCAAATCTGCTGCATCATTTGCCTAGGAAAAGTTACGAACACATGGTGTTGTCATTGGATTGCTCGAATTATATTTTCAGCTTAATACACACCTCAGCATCGCTGTTATCGTCAGAGTTTACACCATTCTGCTCCTCTTCGGCATCGGAGTCTTCTTCGTTGGCCTCTACTTTCACTTCGGGCTTCTCCTCTTCAACCTTCTTTGATTTTGGGCCGCGCTTGTTATTGCCAGCAGCCTTCTTGATACTCACTTTCTTTTGTGCCATTTTTTGTGAATTATTTCACTAGTATAACCGGGAAACTCTGAAAAACGCGTGCTTCGGTATGCTCAAATGCACGTGCCACGTGGAAAAGAATGGAAAAAAAGTGTGACCGTCGCGATTAAGGGAAAAAACGTGTATTTATCCACAAGTGGTAGCACTGCGTCAGTGTTGGTGAGTGTCAATGTGAACTAGTTCATTCACGCATTATGCAGCACTGTAAACACTAGATGGCGATAGAAGAAGTTGTGTGGCGCTGTTGCTCATTAAGTATACATAAAAAAAATTAAATTACACACATATTTATTATTGAAAGTGCTTGAAAACAAAGAGAGCGCGTAAGCACACGCTAACAGCAACAGCAGTAGAACCAACAATCGCAGCAGTGGCGGCACACAGTGAGCAGCAGCGTTTACGAACACCAACAACGCAGCAGAGACAGAGGCAGCAGTAACAGCAGCAGCAGAGCAGCAGTAACACAACGTCCAGAACGACGTTGACGGTGACGGCGACGACGACAATGAACACACTGAGCGCTAACACGAACGGAAGCGGAGCTGGCTCAACGGGGAATAACAACGGAAATGGCAATGGCAACGGCAACGGCAGTGGCAACGGCAACGGTGGTAGCTCCACCACTGCCAATGCCCCAACAGCCGGTAGCGGTGGTGGCGGTGGCGGCGGAGTAGGTAACCTTGATGAGCTTGGTGGCGATGCCAGTTCGCGCAGGCAGGCGACGCGAGTGTTTAAGAAGAGCTCATCGAATGGCAAAATCACAGTCTATTTGGGCAAGCGCGACTTTGTGGATCATGTCACGCATGTGGATCCTATTGACGGTGTGGTTTTTATTGACCCGGAGTATGTGAAGGATCGCAAAGTGTTTGGCCAGGTGCTGGCCGCCTTTAGATATGGTCGTGAGGATCTAGACGTATTGGGGCTAACGTTTCGCAAGGATTTGTATTTAGCCCACGAACAAATCTACCCGCCCATGCAAATGGAGCGGCCCATGACTAGATTGCAGGAGCGGCTCATCAAAAAGCTGGGACCCAATGCACATCCATTTTACTTTGAAGTGCCGCCCTATTGTCCGGCCTCGGTATCCCTGCAGCCAGCCCCTGGCGATGTGGGAAAATCCTGTGGCGTCGACTACGAACTAAAGGCGTTTGTTGGTAAGTTTTTCATGGAATTTATGTGCTTGGGCGTGAGTGTTAGTGTGTATTTATGTCTAGTACATATGTATGTACATAGTAAATATTTTTATTATAAAAAAGGCTTTGTTAGTTGGCGCATGTGTCACGCGCGGGGTTAATTAATCCAACTGCGTCGACTGCGCAAAATGTCATTGTGTATGCCGTACGTTGATGACGCAGCACAAGGCACCTAATTGGAATTCGACGCTTCTAATTGGAATTCGACTCTATTGCTCTCGCAGTCGCAGTCGCAGCGCATTCGCAGTCGCGGTTGCTTTAATTAGGCGTCTTTCTGCTGACGTTCGGCGATTTTGCCTACATTCAGCACTTACATAAATGCTTCTTGGAAACTCGACGCAGCTGGGTATCTTTGTTTTTTTAATGCTTAAGTAAGCTGAAAAAAAAAAAAAAAAAAAACAAAATAAAGTAAAATAAAAAACTACAGCAGCAATGACCCAAAAGCGTAATTGCCGATCCCGCTCTACCGCGCATACGCTCTCCTGCTTCGCGCTCATCTTGCTTCTTGCGCCTCTCACATTCTCATTTTGCAACAATAATGAAATTGACAACAACGAAAACAGCAAGAAGCAGAAAGAGCGTATACAGCGTACTTAGCAGCGATTTATTGGGAGTTACGCGCGCATGTTTGCGTTTCGCACGCGCATTCGCATTTCTTACTTGGGATCTCCTCTGTGCGCTCTGTTTCAAATGCAAGCTGTCTCCCTCTAGCGCCTCTTGCCTTTGCATTTTTGTTGTTTTTATTGCGCACGAATTGCTATCTATGAACAGATGTATGTGTGTGTTTGTGTGTGCGTATGTTTGTATTTAGTACTGTAGCCACTTTGCTTTGTCCGTTAATTTTTGGTGGTTTTATTGCCCGGCGTCAACACTCTTATCTGTCTCTGGCGGCGCCTCTGCCCCCGCGGCTGCCACTGCCACGGCCATTGCCAATTGGTGTGTAACCATAAAAAGATTATCGAAAGCAAACTTGAGACAAAAGCCAATTGGGTGGGCTTGAATGGGCCACCCTCTGGCGCACAATGTATCCGAATTTGTAGCACGCCCCAGACATTAACGATTTCTGACTAGAATATATACACACACATGCATACACATACATATGCATATGCCATGTACATACATTGATATTTCCATAAGAATCGACTAATTAAAATTATAAATAAACCGTTTTCGAATTCGCTCTAAAGATTTCCAGAACATCAGCAGAATGACTTTCACGATCGTTTCGAAACTTTTGTATGAGAATTGTGCTGACAGTCTTTTAACCGGCCGTTAAACCGATCCAGCTGTTTATACAAAGCCCAATGAAAACAGTTGTCAATCAATGTTTCAAACTATTTGATCTGGAACTAAGCAATATCCATGATTTCTTTATTTATAAATGTTGCCAATTTTAGGATCGAGTTTAAATAATTAGCTGACTTATGCAAAAACCAAGAAGTTCATTGAATCCAAAACAGATATTTGATCAGTAGAAACAGTTTTCAACGGAATTTATTTTATTATTTTTATGTATGCTAATCAGAAACATCACGGATCAAATTTCTTTCATTTTAATAAAAACATAAATTAAAATAGACAATGTTATTATTTACATTTGATATGTGACAATTGCAACAATATTTGAATAATTGCGATCGTTGTCAATTTATTCGAGTCAAATGTATTGAGTTGTCTTATAACAGTTGGATTCAATTTCTCGCTCGATCGCTTGTAAGGGCATCTATGATGCTGGCATGAGTACTAGATGTTTTTATTTACTTGGCATCTGTTGATTTGTTTATTTAATGTGCTCTGCTCTGGGTTGAAGCTGCCATGTTTTTCGTATAAACAATAAACCCAGCACCAGTAGTCCATGCCTCTGCCTCTGGCTCCCCGACAGAGGCCAACAAGCGCCGCTAATATTTATGATCTCAAAATTGAAAGTATTTAAAATTATTTTCATTTCATTTAAAATTGAGGCAACGCAATGAGCATCTTAAAGCACCATCCCAGTACCGATATAATGGTGCGTCATTTCTCTTTACACACATTCTCTGGTATAATACCCATATGCTGATAGTTTCGTCCGTGAATCATCTGGTTGCTAAGCTGTGCTCAAACTGTGACGCACACAAAATAGAGTTTGACACACCCCCGAACAAAAATGATGCATAAATATTTGAGCTATTCTGCGAGAATGTGTGCGAGTGTGTCTGGGTGATGAATATCATATGTAAATACGTCATGAAAACAAGTTGAAGTCCAAAGCTAATGCTGTTTGTATATTTATCTAACGATAGGCGAGCACATTGAGGATAAGCCACACAAACGGAATTCGGTACGCTTGACGATTCGGAAGGTGATGTATGCACCGTCCAAGGCCGGAGAGCAGCCCTCGATTGAGGTGAGCAAGGAGTTCATGATGAAGCCGAATAAAATCCATCTGGAAGCGAGCTTGGATAAGGAGCTGTACCATCATGGCGAGAAGATATCAGTCAATGTTCACGTGGCGAACAATTCCAATCGCACAGTCAAAAAAATCAAGGTGTGCGTACGCCAGTTTGCCGACATATGCCTCTTTTCGACGGCCCAGTACAAGTCTGTGGTGGCCGAAACGGAGTCAGAGGATGGCTGCACGGTGGCGCCGGGCTTTACGCTCTCCAAGGTGTTTGAATTGTGTCCCCTGCTCGCGAATAACAAGGATAAATGGGGACTGGCGCTGGATGGGCAGCTGAAGCACGAGGATACAAATCTGGCCTCAAGTACGCTAATCACCAATCCCGCACAGCGCGAAAGCTTGGGCATTTTGGTGCATTATAAGGTGAAGGTGAAGCTACTGATTGGCTCGCCACTGTTGGGCGGAGATTTGGTTGCCGAGCTACCGTTCACGCTGATGCACCCCAAGCCCGAGGAGGAGGAACACCCGGTGCTGGGGGATCGGTCACCGCGCGCCAGTCTAGCAGCGCCGCTGCTTAGCCTGGGCGATTCAGTTGATGCCGGCGCCGGAGCATCCTCCGGCCAATCGGCAAAGGATGTGCCCACCACCACAAACCTCATACAGCTGGACGACGATGAGGCCCAAGATGATGATATTATCTTTGAGGATTTTGCGCGCCTGCGCCTAAAGGGTGCCGAAACAGAGGCCTAGGCATTGCCAGCCAATGTCGGCCCAACAGTTGATTGTGGCTTCGAGCAGCTACAGTTTTAGACCCGTAGACATGCGTAAGCGCAATATTTATTGTCCAACTATATGTATGTGTTGTATCTGTACATATATAGATATATATCCCAAAAATAGGGCATTTGTATCATACGATGTGTATGCGCAGCCTCTGATTGTAAACTTTGAATACATAGCCACGGTACATAGTTTTATATTGCTATTGGTATGTGTAGGCCATACGTTCTAGTATCTATAGTATTTAAGCTGAAAGTGTACGAATTTTTTGAAAATGTGAAATTGTTTAACAAATACACATATAAACACACTCATACACACACTCATACACACACACACACACACACGCATGCAAAGCCCTCAAATACACCGACCAACTAAAAACGCCTCTAGAAATGGCGAATTATGCACAACAATTTTAAATCTTATTGTAATTGTTTACGCAAATGTTTATTAAAATTAGAAAATGAGAAAATGCGCGCAAATCTTTGTTAAAAGCCATGAGAGTAAGCAGAAATGTATTTAGTTTGATTATTTCGGTTATTTTTGTCTCCGAAACTTTGATAAATTGAAATTAAGTCATTTTGTATTTAGTTATGCAGAGAAAGAGAACAGTTTAACTATATGCCAAAATATATATGCTTACAGATATACATAAAATGATAATCTAAATACGTTTATGTAATTTAATAATAAAATAATTACAATTTTTATTGCAATCAACCGAAACACCAATGAATCCAATTGGAAATGACGTTAAGTGTTCAAGGTTTTCCAAATAATTGACTTAAATCCAAAAAGAAATAGGAATATGTAAATTGACTCTGACTGCTGAATTCTGAATGCTGTATCTAATGCCGGCTAGTTAAATGCATTAAGTTTATTTAATTAATAATTTCGTTTAACTGAGACTGAACCTCACTGAAACATGGGAGGACAGTGCTCTTCAAGAACATATATACTGTAGACCATCTGTTTGTGGTTTTTGATCATCTATTAATGTCTGGCCATAAATTGATTATGTTTCGGTTTGATTCCATATTGTATCAGTTTCGCATTTACATTATTTGCGAGCAGCCATAGATAAGAGAATTAGGGTTATCAGGCAAATCGTATTATTAGATAAGTGGTATACCGATAACGGTAAACATACACAGAATGTCTGTGTTTGCCAGTTAGTTATGTGAAAAGTGTGTGTATTGCTCGGCAAGCCGATTATTTTTATTAATTATTTAACATTCCAGCACGCGATTTTTATTGTATCTAGAATGTTGGATGGTGGGTTGAGGTGGAGAGGTCGGAGAGTTGAGGAGGGATCAGAACCCTATATGATATCACGTATGATTGTGTACTCGAATATATGTCAATGTGCAACAGAATGGCTTAGTGAATCGAAATTGAGGAAACGAAATTGAACTCGAATACGAAAAGCAATTTTTAACTAGAAAATTTATATATATACATACATATACTATATTAAATATTTAGCTATCTATCTATCAGAGGCGCACTAACATCTAATTTAAATAACATAATTGTAAAAAAAAAAAAAAAAAAAAAAAAAACAAGAAACATAAAAAGCAACAAAACAGAACATATATATATATATGTATATTTTTGACATTATTTCGTATATCATGTGAATATTAATACAAGGCAGTGTACAATTTAGTTCCTTTTGTATTGTTTGGCGCTTAGCAATGAGGGAATTAGTGTATTGCCCTAGCTCTAAATACTATTATTGTATTTGTAAGATTGATTAACATAGTATCTGATTTTCCCAGACATGAGTTCGCTAAAGGCTTTTAAATAACATTCGCGATTGTGAAATTAGCTCGAATTTGTTTTCAGTGCCCCAAAAGCAGCAGCAGAAGTGCTGTAACGGTAATAGTGAAAAACCAATTGATAATATATTTTAAATTGCATTTTTATAACGCGTATATTTAGATATATACATACATACACATACATAGCATAAGTTTGTTAGAACGTTTTTTATCACAAAGCAAAAGCAGCTGCAAAAATTCAAATAAAAGAAACAAAAACAAACAAAATTATACGACAAATACAAACTTAAAATATATTAACATAAATGTGCATTACAAACTGGTAAAATGGATACAATATAGAACAATTCAACAAAATTTAATTAGATAAGTCTATAAATGTGAACAACAAAAATAAATTATACATAAATAAATAAATAAATAAATATATATATATATACACACACATAGCTTTAGTAAATGTATATGAATATGTTTTAAATACGTATGTCCCAACATATTTAGCGCAAATATAAAGCATTTATGTATGTATGTCTAAAATATTATGAGATAATATATATTTAAATGAATGTCCCACTAAATCAGCTTATCAAGAATTTTTCATAATTATTTTTAAACCTTTTTATAATACATTTTATATTTATACAAAATGATCAAAATAATTGACAAAAAAAAAAGCAACAACAAAAAGAGATGCAAAACCTGTTTGTAGCTGCACAAAATAAGGAAATTAATTGTATTTTTTAAGTACGTTTTTGTCTGGTACCAAAATGCATTCAATTTGATAATTGTTAATGTTTAATGTATAAGTACATACTGTGCATCAATGTGCATATAAATATTAGCTATTAGATATGTGAAGTGAAGAGTATTATGAGCTGTTACCTAGCCCACACAGAAGCCCCCACGTTTATACATATATATGTACATGTGAACTATAACTAACCAGAAACTATAACTATTTGCATACATTCATATATATACGTATCTATTTACATAAATACACACTCTCTATGTACAATATCATAAATGAACAAATCGAAAATTGGTTGCATGTATCGCTAAGCTAACCCACGCGTGTCACGAAGCACACAGTTTATATACTCAATATGTAAAATATCATATACATATGTATATTTATATATGATGCTGTCGATGTGAATGAATACTCTTATGACAAAGGGATATTAAATGTTGTGTACGTAAATGTTAAGAGTAATGAGAATAACTGAATAGATTATGCAAAAGTGTGCAAGTGTGAAAACACATTTTAATGTCATCCGCATTTTATAATACACATATGTAAAAATTGTTATCAATTTTCTGTATCTGTTGGCAACGCAAGCTTAACTGGTCCGACTAATTAATACATTTATGTAATTTCCACAAAAAACATTTTTAAAATGGGAAATTTATAAACACATCCAACATATGTATTTATAATCACTTCGCTCGGCTCGGCCAGCACTAATCTATAAATTACATTACATCTATATAGTTTTATATATTTAAACTGTCATCGTTGTTGCACCTTTTAGAATATGTAATGAATTATGAAATATTTATGATGTACTTCGGCTACGATTTGCAAATTGAATAATAATAATCATTTGCAATTTGTTTTTGCTTAATAAGTAGCCATATGTGGAAGTAGAAAAAAACACTTACACACACACACACACACACACACACACACACACATACACAAAATGCAAAAAAAAGTGCAGCAAAAATATTGCGCGATTAAATGTGGGTCATGGAAGCAAATGAATTGAATGAAATTATAAATAAATACTACAGCATATAAACAAAATATTGCTAATTGTGAACAAAACGAACGAAATGCAAGCTGATTAAATAAAATACATAAAAAATTGCCGTTTTTCGAGAGCCCAGCTCATTATACTCATCGGGTAAGTGGACAGTCGATAATCTAAATGCACTAGTAATTAAAACGGATAAAATTATTAAGAAGCAAATTAATTGAAATGCTTTAATAGAGGCCTTTGAGCATTCATCTGGCATTCAAATTGACCCATTAATATCCAAAGTGAATTTTACCAAAAATATGTGTAGCCTCAGAACCAAAAGTTGTGAGTATACATATTTGGGCAGAGGTAAGGAGTTATAATTTATGCACTTCACATTAAATAATAATTTATTAATGCACAATGGACCTGAAAAGCGGCCTTGTGGCTTAGACTGTGCACCGGAAGCAGACAGACGGAGACAGAACTGGGTGACTGATGATGAACCCGTCACTCCCTGTGCTCCCGTGGGCGTGTGGGCCGTATAAACCAAAGAACGGAAAACCGCAATTCGAAAAAGCCATTTACTGTTTGCTGTTTGCTTAGTCCGCGGTATTATGAGCACTTAAAACTGCCTGCTGCAATAACAATAAGGGGCTCTGGTTGGGCACGTAGCATTTCGGTTGATTCATGGCGTCTTTGTCTTGGGGGCTATGTCAGGTGGCGACCACTGAAACTGTCACAGGGACTCGAGCAACTCGAACAATTCTTCATTTCCGGTGAGGCTTAAGAGCCGTGCTTCCTTCCCATTGCCGCCCGTCCCTCGCATATCCATGTACCTCTGCACGAGGACGCGTCGACAATCTACAAGGACGACGAGCATATGGCTGCAATCGCTAGGTTCAAGCAAAAAGTCGACCAGTTCACTGCCAGCTTCACTGAGCGGAAGTTGTCCGCCAGCCCAGCCGAACGAACCGAAGCCTTCTATGTCCCCTTCCCACTGCACACCATGTGCTTTACACACTGTATGGTTTTCATTTCCGGTTTCCGTTGTTGCTGAGTTACTTAAGCGGATTACAGCATCAGCAGCAGCAGCAGTAGGAGCAGCAGGAGCCGCATCGGCAACAGCAAAGAGCGTGACTAAAAAGGAACGAGGTCCAGTTCCTCTATTTAAGTAGCTTTTGAGGACAAGGACGCCTGTTCCATTTAGATTGTCCAACAGCTGCGATAAATAATTCCAGGTGATTTCCATGGACCCCTAATTATACTATAATTAATCAAAACACGTGATTTGGGTTTTCTCAATACATATACATATATATTACAAAACAATTTCATGTTTTCAGGCCGAAGCGTTGCAGTTTTCGCTGCTCCATGACTTGGCGGTGTTCACCAAGAACGTGGTCAGCTGAGTCATGTCAACGGCGGAGAGCATATCGTTGATTGGAGCAACTATATACTTGGCCGAAAGTTTATCCAAGCTGGGCTGAATCTGCTTTGCCAGGAATGCAATCATATCGCCGGATATACGATCGTAGAAGTTGTTGCCCGAAATATTCCACAATGAGTCCCAGTTGTCGATCCTCACTTCACCAATGTAAAAGTGCGGCTTGAGATTGTCAATGCGCAGTCCAGTGGAGTTGGTTAGGCTCTGGGCAAATGTGCATTCCAGAACAATACGTAATTGCTCCAGTCGGTCGTTGATCAGGTTGTTTTGTTTCGTGGGTAAAGAGAAACCAAGCACATTGAAAACTCCTTCCATTATAGTGGATCCCAAAATTTGAATCTCCGGGAACAGGATATCGAAGTTGATATGGTACGTGCTTGGATCGTATTCGGCATTCAGGACAATGAAATTGCTAAGGCCACTGATGCGGATGTTGCTCGCGTTGCCCACAATGCTAGTCTCTCCTTTGGTGTAGTTGAAAGTGGAGAACTCGTTGGTGAACGGGTCCAGCACGGGAATTCCTGCGGAGGCACACCCGTTGGGTGCCATCTTCTTGAAGGCCGCAATCATCATTTCAACGGCATCACCGAAGTTGATTGTGCTCTTCAAGGGTGAGGCACAGCTGGAGGCCACTAGCAGACCCAACAAGAATACCTTTGCTATCATTATGTTCGGTTGTTTCGGTAACTCTGTGACAATAGATTGGTTCCGCTACCCTTTTATAGTTGTATCTTTATCTATGCATCGCACCATTTGGGATTTGATTGATTACATGTCGCTTAGTTTGATATGGGCTTTTTTTTTTTGGAAAGGTTTACAAAAAAAAAAAACACTTATTGCTGCCAATTTGCACAGGAATAAATGAGTCATAGTCTTGATATTGATATGCATCGGAATCCACTCCATCGTTAATACTGTTTTCATTAATTTAAGAAATGAACTACTTCCTCATTGTCTTCACAGAGTCAACGTGAATATTACCCAAATACTTATATATGTATATATGTTTTTCATATGACAGTCAATTAGTTATAATTCTTGACAGAAGGAAAAAACAGTTACTCATATAATATTTGTCTGTCTGTCAGGCTTGGTCAGCTGTTTGTATGCTAGTTAGAGAGCTGACACTTGAAATATATTTTCGATGTATAATCGAGAGACTTCGGGTCTAGAATATATAATCATGATAATTTTGACATATACTGTGTTAACTGTTGGCTAGACTAGGATATCTATAAGCATACATTCGAAACTTCAACTTCCTAGCTTTTACATAGACAGCAAGACAGCCATTACATAAAACTACTTCTTAAATATTTAAAATTTGTAATCGTTCGAGAATTTCTAAATGTACATTTCTAGGAATTACCTATAAGGACTTTGTGTTAGGTCAATCAGTCTCGAATGGTCGTCAACAGTCAATAGAAAATAATAGGTGTCTTTAGCTAGACCTAAGCTACTATATTTTTAATCTACTACTATTTCACACTCGTACTATTTAAGAATTATAAAACATTTCATAGCCTACTTTCAGGCATGCTGTACAATTAAATTATGATTAAATAAGACATATGGGGTACTTCAAAAACCCTTATGCGATCTTAGTATCAACATTTCTACCCACTTGGGCGCTCCGGCTAACGTAGCTTAGTTATCAGTAATAATTAGCTGGCTATATACAATATTTAAAAATCAATATTAATTTACAAATCAATATTAATGGCAGCTGTTTTTTGTCAGCTTCAGTTCATCATCACAGAAGCTCGAAGAATGGAGCCTCTTGGTTGCCTCCTAGGTCTGTTTCTGTGTCGCTCCAATCTGCCATGGTACCGACTCGAGTGTTGGTTTATTGCATCAAATACCGCCAGTTTACGGGTATAGAATAATTCTTTCGCAGTCGGTAATCAATTTCAGAATTGATTTAAATTCCAATTCAGAGTTCTTTAAGATATGTAATATACACATTATACCTGTCAGTTATTAATAAATCACATTAAATCGCATCTATCTTTTCTCTATCTTTTTAATAAAAATAAATTAACATCTGAAATATTTCTTCATATCTTGATTTGCTTTCCTCAAAATCTAAATAAGACGGGATTATAATGAGTATAATATACATACACGTATTATACGCATTATACAATTCACAAAAATAATCACTCAAAAGATATCGTTCGTAGATACTGATAATAAAAATGCCAATATATTATGTGCTTTATTGATTTATTATAATTCGTTATACAAATTATTAAGCCTTAACATTGCAGGCGGCATTGTTCCACAGCTCCGCTTGCATAGCAAAGTAGTTGCTCAGCTCAGTCATATCGAGATTAGAGAGCAGGCTATTGATGGAGGGCAGCACATACTTTGCAAACATGGGGTTAACATAAGGCTGAATCTCCTCGGTGAACAACAGAGAGAATGAGTTGATGAAACTGTTTAAATAGTTGTTTGCCGCAACATCCATGTACTGATCCCAGTTATCGGCCTCCACACCAGCCACAAAGTATTGCAGGTTGAAGTCCTTGATGCGCAGTCCATTTGAGTTGGTCAAGCTCTGGCCAAAGGTGTATTCGCCCACGAAGCGCCAGTCAGTGATTTTCTTGTTAATCAGAACACTCTGGCGAATGGGCAGTGGAAGACCGCCAATGCTCAGAACACCCTCCACTTCGTAGGAACCCAAAATTTGAAGAGCAGGGAACATAACGTCAAAAGTTGCGCTCAGAGTGCTCTGATTGTAGCTGCCACTGAGCACCTGGAAGTTGTTGAGGCCAGAAATGCGGATGTTGCTCACATTGCCCACCAGGTTAGTGTCTCCGTTGACGTAGCTGAAGTCGTAGAAATCGAGAGTCAGTGGAGCCAAGACTGGGATATTGTCGGCAGCAAAGCCACATGGCAACATCTTCTTCCAGGCGTCGAGGAACATGTCAAGGGCCTCACGATAGTTGACCAGACCATTGTCCTGGGTAACAGGTGAAGCACTGGCGAAGGTTACCAGGAGCGCTAGAAGAACACACTTTGCAATCATTTTGCTTGGTTAAAGGTAGAAAGAACAGTGTGAGGAATTGGCTCTGTTCGCTGCCTTTTATAGTTTGTTATCTTTGCATTGCTTTTGCGGTATTTTGATCGATCGCATTAAAATTGGCCGTTTTAACAATTAGGTTCCACGTTGCATAATACCTTATCATGTAAAGTAGCCAATTTATGGTATGACTCATCGCGATAAACTCGTTCGACTTAGAGGACTTATAGGACTTAGTTTAAAGAAGGACGGTGTGCATATGACTCAACAATTTACTGTGGTTCGTAGTCTATTCTTTCGACGCGAAACTCAAAACAATTATTTATTGTTGAAAGTATTGGTTTAATATGTAGTATATAAGGATGATTACTAAATATTTTGAGCTCAGCTTTAAGTAATTTAATTTTTTAATTAATGTTAATCTTACAAGTATTGAATTAATATTTTACTTCATTTTATAACAGCGAATGTTTGAACAACGTCTTAATTTTTAATCGATTGGATCCGTATTACTAGAGAATCTCTTACATAAAATCCTTATTTCAGCAGAAATTCAAATTTAATTCTCCGAGACTAGATTGTATTTACACAGACCAGGTATACGAACCCATCTCGGGTTTTCCTTAAAACATTTGATATAGCATAATGAAAAGCATTTCTTCGCATAAAAACACTGCCCATGTTTCCTACATTTGAAGGTATATAATTTACATAATTAATTAATTTACATTTATTTTAATAATTGCAATATTTTAAGATCATATCTGTATGCTAAAAATGCTATATATAAATCATATCGATGATTCATAATATATCCATAATCGTTTACTGTAATGTCAAAGTAAATTCACAGTAGCTAAATTGACTAGCATTTACTGCAATCCATTAAAGGCGTCACAAAGAAATTCATAGATAACAATTCGACTATAAAAGACAACGCGTGCGACCCATTCCTCACAGAGTTCTTTCTACCTCTAATCAAGCAAAACGATTGCAAAGTGTGTTCTTCTAGCGCTCCTGGTTGCCTTCGCCAGTGCCTCACCACTCCAGGACAATGGCCTGGTCAACTATCGTGAGGCCCTTGACATGTTCCTCGACGCCTGGAAGAAGATGTTGCCATGTGGCTTTGCTGCCGACAATATCCCAGTCTTGGCTCCACTGACTCTCGATTTCTACGACTTCAGCTACGTCAACGGAGACACTAACCTGGTGGGCAATGTGAGCAACATCCGCATTTCTGGCCTCAACAACTTCCAGGTGCTCAGTGGCAGCTACAATCAGAGCACTCTGAGCGCAACTTTTGACGTTATGTTCCCTGCTCTTCAAATTTTGGGTTCCTACGAAGTGGAGGGTGTTCTGAGCATTGGCGGTCTTCCACTGCCCATTCGCCAGAGTGTTCTGATTAACAAGAAAATCACTGACTGGCGCTTCGTGGGCGAATACACCTTTGGCCAGAGCTTGAGCAACTCCAATGGACTGCGCATCAAGGACTTCAACCTACAATACTTTGTGGCTGGTGTGGAGGCCGATAACTGGGATCAGTACATGGACATCGCCACAAACAACTATTTCAACGACTTCGTCAATTCCTTCTCTCTGTTGTTCACCGAGGAGATTCAGCCCTATGTCAACCCCATGTTTGCAAAGTATGTGCTGCCCTCCATTAATAATCTGCTCTCCAATCTAGATGTGACCGAGTTGAGCAACTACTTCGTTATGCAAGCCGGCATTTGGAACAATGCTGCTTGCAATGTTCAAGCTTAAATTTGTTACTTAAACGAAAATCAAATAAATCAAACAAGCAATATATTCAAAATTATGTATACAATATTTATTACCTATCTATTTACCTGTAACCAAACTGACTGATAATATTGCCCAATTCTCTTCAACTGCTACTTATCAGTTGATAACAATAAATTCACTTTATAAATTGGTCATTCCATTCTCCATTTTGTTTATAATAATGTCCCTTTTAAGCTATTCATAATATATTGATAAAGTCATTTGAGTATATATTTATTTCGTTGGCAATATTGAACATTATGTTTAACAATAATATTCATATTGGTGTCAATGGAATTTTTTTCTACAGGCAAATCATTCAAAATAATTTTTAAGACAACGTTAGGTATACTTATGAGGGGAATATTGAAATTTAAGTAATCGAAATTCATTATTTTCCGTTGTTAAAGGATTTTTAATTTTCATATGATATGTCATGTGATATATTCACTATATACTATTAAGTGCCTTAAGATTTATTAAATAATAAAGTCGTATTGAATTGCAAGATAATGTACTTTTATTTACAGTGAAATGCAAATAATTAAAAGTAAATTGTTTTAAGCTTAAACATTGCAAGCGGCATTGTTCCATAGCTCGGCTTGCATAACAAAGTAGTTGCTCAGCTCGGTCATATCTAGTTTGGAGAGCAGGCTATTGATGGAGGGCAGCACATACTTTGCAAACATGGGGTTGACATAAGGCTGAATCTCCTCGGTGAACAACAGAGAGAATGAGTTGATGAAATTGTTTAAATAGTTGTTTGCCGCAACATCCATGTACTGATCCCAGTTATCGGCCTCCACACCAGCCACAAAGGTCTGTAGGTAGAAGTCCTTGATGCGCAGTCCATTGGAGTTGCTCAAGCTCTGGCCAAAGGTGTATTCGCCCACGAAGCGCCAGTCAGTGATTTTCTTGTTAATCAAAACACTCTGGCGAATGGGCAGTGGAAGACCGCCAATGCTCAGAACACCCTCCACTTCGTAGGAACCCAAAATTTGAAGAGCAGAGAACAGAACGTCAAAGGTGGCGTGTGTCGTGTTCTCGTCGTAACTGCCACTGAGCACCTGGAAGTTGTTGAGACCAGAAATGCGGATGTTGCTCACATTGCCCACCAGGTTAGTGTCTCCGTTGACGTAGTTGAAGGCGTAGAAATCGAGAGTCAGTGGAGCCAAGACTGGGATATTGTC